TCAGCTTGTAAAAGTTTTCCATCTTGCAGATTATCTGCACAGAAGAAATCAAAAATATCTTTATTTAACTTATTTGAGCAGCCATGTATCCCACATGGTGAAATGAAAACGCCATTTTTGAAGTTTCCTTCAGTTAATCATCAGAAAACAGATCAAACTTTACGGCAGGCGTCTCAAACTCTCGGCCTACGTCACACCTATTTGCGGCCCATATATTGACGTGAACAAAATACAATGGAATTTGGTCCTTGAAGTTACTTTTTTTTTGTTAGGGAGGATGTTAAAGTGAGTTCTTTAAAAAGCAAAAAGTTTTTTAATATGAATGCAACAAGAGCAGAGAGCACAAACATGCTGAGGGATTGGCTGTGTTAGTCCAGTGAGAGAGTCAAAAACTGATGTGCACACTTATGTCTGCGTTTTTATTTTGTTAAATACAAACACAATTATGTGATGTTTTCTTGTTTTCTTGTTTTTCTGGTACTACTTGAACACTAAAGTGGCCCTCCAATGAGATGGCAGCGCAGCAGTGGCCCACAGCTCGTTTAAGGTTGAGACCCCTGCTTTATGGTATCAACATAAAACTGATGCATATTCAACAGCAACAGATGTGTTCAGACTGACACTTGGATTTGGCTGAAATGTGTTTTTCAGCTCTGAAATGTGCAAAATTTCAGGACAGCTTTCATAGTATGAAGCTAATAACTTTTCGTGGCTTCTTTGGAAACACTAATGTTTTTGCTGAACCCTTCCCAGGATCAAAGAAACAACCAATCAGCACTGACTACACTGTTTATTTATTTTTGCATGTACAGTATTTACAAAGAGCTCAAAGGCACTAATTGCATTTGTGCAAAAACTAACAGACATGTGCATGTACACTCCTACACCGTGCATGGCTCAGGAATGTTATATTAGGTAAAAATATGACTGAAATACACAGATCATTTACTCAAAGACAGACTAATGAGGTTGTTGCAATATTATGCTACATCACATTTTCAGTTTGCAGTTGTCAGATTAGTTTAGTAGCTTAAAAAGTGATTTAAACATAAAATAGGGGCTAAGTGTATGTTACTGTATAACATTTGTTTGCAGGGTTACAACACATCTGTGTCCTTTATATCAGCTCTGTGGTTCCAGTCTTTTTTTAAAAAAAAAAAAAAAACTCATGCAAACATTATTTTAGTAACCCTAAAAAAGGTCAGTGTGTTGACTCAGGATTAAAAATACAAAAAGTTCTACAGGTTTGATTGAAAGTAAAATGTTGGCGTTGCCCTGTTCACAAATTTAAAAGCTAATTTTGTGTTGAACTTCTCAGATGTGCTTCTGGTATCCCTTAAAAAGAAGTGCATTCGTGCCGTTCTTCCTCTTCCTTCTTTCTCAGCAGCAGGTTGACAGTCCGTCACAAACAGCTTCACCTGAAAATCGCCGTCCTGCAACGCTCACGCCTTCTTCTTGCTCTCCGTGGGAAGATGGCGAGGTGACGGTTTTGTTGAGAGCGCAGGGACGAGTTTGTCGAACAGCAGCACCGAGCTCATCATCCCTGAAAGAGCCACGATGCAGAAGAAGA